CACTCCAGCCTGGGTGACAGAATGAGACTCTGTCACAGAAAAAAGAAAAGAAAAAGAAAATAAGCACTGTAAGACCTGGAGTCGATCTGATAATTGAGGTGGCTACTAAACGACTACAGGGTGGCTAGTATCTATGGTGGGGTGTGTTGGGCAGAGGGATGATTCCTGTCCTGGGGAGCAAGACTTCATCATGCTACACAGAATGCCATGCAATTTAAATCTTGCACATTGTTTCTTTTTATAACTTGTCATTTAATGTCTTCAGACAGCCGTTGACTATAGGTAACTGAAACCAAGGAAGGCAAACCCATGAGGAGAGCCTACTGCATAGGAATGCTCTTCTTTCTGGATTCAACAAGGAAATGTATCAGCTTAGGGTGACCAGAGACCTTTTATCATATTACATGGCCAACATCTGTCTGCAAATGAAGTTAAAATGAAAAGAAAGAGGGAAGAAGAGGCAAGCAAAATAATAATTTGGGTTCCTAAATCGAAATGTATTAGAGGGTTAGATCCACTGTGAGATTTCCCAAAATGTCAGCTTATGACTTCCATTTTTTCCCCTTAAACTAGCTGGGTTCCCTCATTTCAAGGCTTTTCACAACAGAACCCAAACTCCCCTCTCAGTATGCATTACTTGCCTTCAAAGTCCCCAGAGCTCTCAGGTTGGCAAACTTTTTCTTAAGGGGTCATAAAGTAAATAGTTTACACACTGCAGGCCAAAACCGAGAATATTATTTAGGTATTTATATAACTATTTAACACATAACAATGAAAAATGTTCTTTTCTCACAAGTCATAGAACACACAAACAGGCACCTGGCTGGATAGAGCCTGTGGGCTTTGGTTTGCCTACCCCTGTTCTAGTCAAATGGCTTTACTTGTGCCACGAGCATGCTTTAAGCTTTTGCATCTCCATGTTTCTCATAGTGCTGCTGTTCCCATCTGGAATGCCTTTCCCATTTCCCAAACCACTGCTCATCCACCATTCAAAGCCCATTTCAAATGTGACCTCCTTCTTCAGGCTTCTTTGATATCACAATGAGTTTGATCTTTCTACAGTAAGTTAGATCTTTCTCCTTGGAATCTTCAAGGGCTGTGTTTTTCTTCTGGTCTTGATGTTACACTGAATTGCAGTTGTCTTATCCATCTTTTATCTCTTGTACACTGTGAATGCTTAGTCTCTTTGGAACTGACAATATCTAAAGACTGTATTTTAAAAAAACACTCCACAGGATCAAGTAAATAGTTAAAGGAAATATGGATCTACCAGAAACCAAGGGTAAGACTGCTGGCAGACAGGGAAGGCAGACATTTCTGAGTCAGAATTATCTGATGTTATAAACTGGAGAGCTCTCATTCTGTATTGTCACAACAGCTCCACATATGGCCACTTGTCTGCTTGCCTAAGATGGTTAGGCCTGACAAATACAACAGAAAGGGAGATTCAGACATTTCGTTTCTGATGGGGAGGGAGACAGGCACGTTGGGCATACACTTGGATGAATGCCTGTATTTCAGCATTCATTCTCAGCCACTCACTGCCGTTGTTCTTCCTCTGAGCTACTGGTGTTGCCCAACCTCAGTCACGTGTGCCCCAGCTTCATGACATTTGCCACATCTGTGTATCACACGTAATTTTAATAGATAATATTTTCATTAGATTGATCTCCTTAACAAATGTCTACTTTAGTTCATTGTAAATAATATCTCATTATTATTAATATACAGAAAAAAGTTCATCCAAGCGCCATTTAAAGTTATTTCAGCTATCTCAGGGCCACACCGCTCACATTTTGGAAATTTCTGCTCTTGGCCACTAATCCTTTTCTGCCCCCTTGTAAAAGTGTGGCATATATTTTCCCAAGATCTATTTAATTATTTGGAAGAAGCTAATTCAATTAATGAAAAGCTTGTTCGTCCACTCAAGCAAGGTGTGCACAATCATTTGATGTTTCTCTTTTTTAATTTTGATATTATTTGACGATACTATCTACAGAATAAGAAAAACAACAACAGTTATCAACATTTAAGGCATGCTCTGTTCTCCTGGGAGAGTATAAAACAGCTTTATTGAGGTATAATTTATATACCATGAAATTTGTCCGTCTAAATGCACAACTTTTAGAACACTAATAGAGCTGTGCAAGCATCATATTCAGTTTTATAATGTCACCATCACCCCAAAAACATCCTTCCTGCCATTTGCAGTTAAGCCCTGCTCCCATTCTCAGCCACAGGCAACCACCTATCTACATTCTAAGTCTAGAAGTCTGCCTGCCTTTTCTGGACATTTCACAAAAGTGGAATTGCATATTGTATGGCCTTCTGTGTCTGAATTATTTCATTTAGCCTAATGTTTTTGAAGTTCACCCATTTTCTGGCATGTGTAAGTAGTCAATTCATGCTTATTACTAAATTCCACTTCATCCTATGGACATCATGTTCTTATTGAGTAGAGAGATTTCTGCACAGATTTCAGATACAAATAATATTAGTGATAATATTTGCAAATATATTTTCCCAGTGTGTGGCTTGTCTTCTCATTTTTTTCAGTGGTGTCTTTTGAAAGGCAAACATTTTTAATTTTGATGAAGTCCAATTTGTTAATTTTTTTCTTTCATGAATTGTGCTTTTGGTGAAATCTAAGAAATGTTTGCCTAACCTAAACATATTCTTCTGTTTTCTTCCAGAAATTGTCTGGGAATGTCCTTATTTCACTTTCATTTTAGAATAACAGTTTTGCTGATTATAAAATTCTTGGTTGACAGCTTTGTTTTTCCCTTAAGCACCTGGAAAATTCAACGTATATCTAGCCACCCTGGCACACAAAGTCTCCCTCTTATGTTCCTGACATGCTGTACCTGCTGCTCAGGCAAACTGCAGGCACCCTGCCCCTTGCAGCACTATTCATAATATGTGCTTGCCTGCAATCTACTGAAGCATTTTCACTTTAAGAAGCATGTGTTGGAAGATATAAAAGAAAAATATTTAAAACTGTTTATGAGCAAATTTCCTTAAAAAGCTTTAGAAGCTGGTCCATTTGTGCCATCTGTTATAAGAGAAACTAGAAACCACCTGTCTGTCTGCCTGAGCTCTGCTCTTAACAAGGAAGCTGTAATTACCTCTTTGGTGAAGGATTTGAATTATTACAGTAAATCCTTATTCAGCAATACTTTATCAGGAAGGCATTCTGACCCCTAGAAACAAGGAGCTTTTTTTCCTATAAAACCTTAGCCATTAGGAGCCCAGAAAAGTATGTGTTAGCCTTGTTTACTACTCAACAATCAATATTTAATAAACAAATATTCACTTAGCACAGTTGTAGGCACTGGAAACACAGTAGGTAGCAAGCCAAGCAAGGCCCCTGCTCTCAGGCAGCTTACATTCAAGTTCAGTAAGCTTCAAGGTAGGGTGGGGGAGAACACAGGCTGGTGGAGGAGAAAAATATCAAAGCTCCTATTGGCATTTTAAATATCTGATTCTTTAAGATTTGTATTTTTATGTTTTCTAATGTGTGTAATATAGCAATTACTAAGGCAGGTATATACTTTATAAATAAGTAAATAAAAACAAACACATATTGGAAGTACATGCCCCAAATATTTTTTCTGATAATATTTTAATCATTAATGTAATAGAAAAAATTTAGGAAACACCGTTTATGTGTGTGTAAAGCAGAAAATAAACTCATAAATAACCAAAGAAGATAATTTTAGATGGTATTCTTAATGAACTAAAATCAACTAAAATCAAGGCAGTATAAAAGCAGGTACCTGGGTGGGGAGGGTGTGTGGGTGTAATTTGGATTCTGTGGCTAGGGTAACTTCTTTTGGGCGACATCTGAGCTGAGATCTCAACAAAGTAGACTGCTGAGGGCTCACTGCCTTAAGCCCCAGTGCATATTTTTTATAGTTAAACATTTGGGATTAAAACAAAGCCAAACCCCATTTCTGCCTAAGCTCCTTCACAGTCTCTCTGCTTAATCACAGAGCCTTTTCCCAGAATACTATGTGAACTTAATGGAAAGGATTCTATTTTGAAAGAACTGTCAAATGAAGATCACTAGTAAACATGGGCCTGTCTGTAGCAGAATTCCCAGTAGTAGCTGATAACAACAAAACATACTTTTCCTGCAAGAAATTGTTTCTTGGTAAAGCAAACAAGTCATTCTGTTTAGGGAAACAACATTTGCCTTTTCAGTGAAGTCTCTGTGCACCCTCAAGTATATTGCTTGTTCCAGTTTGGAAAAAGGGAATTACATAAGCCCCAAACAAACAGCCCGGAGACTTCTCTTCCTCTGTGTGACCTGCCACATCTCTACCTATCTGCAAGATGCAGTACACTGTTCAATACTACAGTTATTGCATCTCCTTTCCCTAGGTTACCCTCGCCTTCACTGCCTGAGATGTCACAATTCTAAAGTTCTACTCACTTTTCGTCAGCATATTTATGTTAATTCACTTGCAATGGTATTCATGGTCATCGTGTTACAGGCTCATTCAGTTCCCTTCAGAAATCATCAGTCTACACTTTCAAATATACCCATCTGAAATGGTGGTGAGGGTAAACTTTCCACAGTGTCATCCCCAAAACCCCACAGCATGTCTCTGTTAGCTCTTCCTTTTTCTAATATTGTCACCCAGCCTAATTGTGACAAAATGGTATTTACATAAACTTTCTATCATTCTCCGAGAAAACTACAGGAAGGAGACTCCTCTCCAGAAAGGACTATTACAAATCACAATTTAGCAAATTATAAAAAATGAAAGAAAATTAAAAATTTACAAAATGACAAGTCCTCACACCAGCAAGAAACTGAATGAGTATGGCAGGCGTGGGGCCGAAGAATCTGTATTTTCAAAATACTCTCCCTGCTCTGGACTTGTGGTTCTGATGAGCAACCAGAGATGGGAACCACTGATCTTGGTTCCTATTGCGTTCTATGTTAGTTCTGGAAATGACTGGGAAGTGTGAATGGTCCAGGTACTGCACTTAGTAGCAAAACACTGTTGTGATTACTTTTTTCCTCTAAAGCCTTTTATTTGTTTGCATGGATTTTATTATTATTTTTGGCTCTAGAAATATGTGTAAGCTTCTTATTCACTGAATTAATAAACTTTTAGTGCTAATCTGAGATTTGGTCAAAAGAACTGTAGGAATTCTGAGAAGGGAGGGATCAGACTGGAGTAGTTTGGGAAAGCATCCTGTGAGTTGGAGTGGTCTCATTTTCCATTTTTGAATTCAAAATCAAGGCGGCTGTGGCCCTCCTACAGCTGAGAAAGAAGAATCAGTGTCAAGAGCAAAATGGTTCTCTCTGCTGAGGCAAGACACAGCCACAACACAAAGTCCTGCTTCTAAAATAACAGCTCCCAACAGATAGAGTGCACTTAGGACATGACAGGTTGGGCTGGACACTTTCCCCTAACACGGACTCATCCCAACAGTCCTGCAAGGGCAGCCCTGATTTTGCAGAAGGGTAAGCTGCAAGTTGGAGGGGTTCTGTAATTTTATAAGAGCCAGAAAGTGGTGGTGCTCAGCGTGACCCCAGGCAACCTGATGTCGGAAGCCGGGCTCTTTTGAATACCTGTGCCACTGTTCTCCTCTGGCCTTGCCCGTGCAGTTCCCACAGGGCGGATGGCTACCTACTCCACAAGCTCAGTGGACACAAGGAACCAGGAAATGCCTGACACAAACCAAGCAGACTTCCAGGGAATTTTCCTGAATTGCCCTAGAAGCTGTTGAAAGAGGTAAAATCCCATTCCATGATCTCATAAATACACATTAAATAGAAAAAAAGAAAGAATGGTTTGGAAGCTTCTCAACAGTTTCATGGGTTATCTGTTTTTGGAGAAAAGTTGTCATGCTTGATAAAGAGACTTCTATAAGAAAACCATACATATATATACATACATATATATATGTGTGTATATATATATATACATACATACATATATATATATATATGTATATATATTTTATGTGAGATGGAGTCTCCCTTTGTCGCCCAGGCTGGAGTGCAGTGGTGCAATCTAGGCTCACTGCAACGTCTGCCTCCCGGTTTAAACTATTCTCCTGCCTCAGCCTCTCGAGTAGCTGGGACTACAGGCACATGCCACCATGCCTGGCTAATTTTTTGTATTTTTAGTAGAGACAGGGTTTCACCATGTTAGCCAGGATGGTCGCAATCTCCTGACCTTGTGATCCACCCACCTCGGCCTCCCAAAGTGCTAGGATTACAGGCGTGTGCCATCATGTCTGGCCCAAAAACAATATTCTTAAGAATAGTGAATTAACAGTTAAGTGCAGGAGTTTAGGGTCAGATATCCCTCAATTACTGGCTCCGCCTCTTATTAGCTGTGTCACCCTGGGCAACTGAACTTCTGTGTCCCTCATTTTCTGGCTGCAAATGAGCATCATTAATAATACCTACACCTCATAGGACTGGTGATAATTAAAGGAGATCATATATATAATATACTCAGTATATTAAAGCCTGGCATATAGTAAGTGTTTACTAAATGGTAGCTGTTATAATTAGGATATGCTTGGCTTGTCCTGAAAAAATGCTGCTTTTATTTTAAAATGAAGAGTAGATTTAAGGACTCTATTTGTACCATCTCTATATCCTAAGGCACTGATCCACACAGAAGTGAAAATGAAGAGAGAATTACACCATCATGCAACCAAATGGAAAGAGAGAAGAAGTACTACATCTCAGGTTCTAGAGCTTTCATTCCAGGATTATTTCCCCTCTTAGCACAGCCCTGTCATCGTGTCTGCACAGCAAAGCTCCCGAATGGAAAATGTACAGAGACAAGTTCAAAGGCACTCAGGTTGTGTTACCAGTGGCAAACAGGTCCACAGGTATCAAATTACCTGTGCCCAAAGCTCAAAATTTCATGTTCAAGTGGCGGTGTCAATACTGAGCTCTGGCTCATTTATGAAACTTCAGTAAGCCCCAGACTCTTCTTTCAGGGTAGGACAACAGGAGATGTCTATTTCTCCATAGGTTTGCTCAAAGAAAAGCTGGTGTTACCAAAGAGAGGCTTGATGTTGCAGCAAATAGGCCTGGGAAGATGGGGAAGGGTCACTACCTTCCAGTCCACACTCATACTGATGATGACACAATGAGGAGTCTGAGTCCCTGGGCAATGCTGTGGATGGCTTCTTAGAAGCACCATGTGCAGATGGAGTGGGAGGGGGTTGGGGGGAAGGAACATAGAGTCACAGGGCAGTACTTCCTCCCTGGAGTGGGCTTCATCCTTGGATAACTCCATGTTCTTAAAAGCAGTATCACATAGGTTTCATACAAATGCTGCCAGGGACAGCACTGCTCATTCTCATTCTAATATTCCACAAGGTGATATAGTACTCCACAAGGTGAGTGACAAACAGTTCCCATTCCTAAGCTGGACAAGGTAGGCTGGACTGGATCCTTGACTGTTAGGCTTCTGAGAATGGCTGACTTTCTTGAGCGTGGCAGGTGGGCCAAGGCAACAGCTTCCCCTCTCCTTTTCCTTCTGAGTCCTGGCCTCTCAGCTGCTTACTTCTCCTCTCCCTGCCCTCATCTCTGCAAAGACGCTAAATCCTGGCTCTTTAAATGGAATGGCTCCTTTAGGAAGTCAGGCCTAGAGGAAATTCAATGAAAAACTTCCCACAGGGGATGCAAGGTCAAGTGGGAAGAGCAAGGGAGGGGCAGTGCAGGCAGACTGTGGCTGGGAACTGTCACTCCTCTGCTCACTAGCCTCGTGACAACTCTGCCTCACTCGCCTCCTTTGAAAATGAGGGGAAAAGTTACCCTAAGGGGTGTTTGTGTGGACTGCAGGAGTTAATATACATCAAGAGGTGGGCACCATGTCTGGCAAACAGAAAGTACTCCCTGACAGAAGGGCAAGGATCGATACTTATTGAATCAGATAATGTAGTAGAGTTAAGGAAGGAAATAAATAGCCTTAGGGTATGTGCAGCCATTTTTGCTTTTGTAAAAGCAAAAATAAACAAGGAGGACTCCAGGGCTCTGTTTAATTCAAATATTCAATGCCAGCTTACTTTCTTTCCACTTCCTTTGTTTTTTTTTTAATTTTATTACTTTATTTTATTTTTTTAATATAATAAAGACAGGGTTTCACCCTGATGGCCAGGCTGGTCTTGAACTCCTGACCTCAGGTGATCCACTCATCTCGGCCTCCCAAAGTGCTAGGATTACAGGCGTGAGCCACCACTTCCTTTGTTTTTTGGTAAAAGAAAAAAAAATGAGGGATGCCCCATAACATATATTTTTAAAGCAGAATTTTTTTCTTAATATAGAAAGAAACTTTGTTGTTTCTAGCTATAAAAAGACTTCATACTTATTGTTAAAAAAAAATAGGCAAAAGACAAAACCAAACCAAATTATCAATACTCCTAATCCAGACACCAGTTATCACATTACTATTTCAGAACCTTTCTTTGTGTATATATGCATCTATATGTATTTCGTCTTCTGCATTAAAATGGTACCATAATTTACATACTTTATAATTCTCTTTTCTTCAAAGTAGTTTTGTTATATAATATCCCCATATCAATAAACAGTTATCAGCAACACAATATTCAGTAGTTGCACTGTAGTTCATGGCTGTTTGATAACTACCCAACCATCAGTATAGTTGGACATTTAAATGATTTCTTTCTCACAATACAGCTGTCAAAATTCATTCACTGTGGCACAGATCTCTCATTAATTCCTTCTGATAAATACTGGGGGTACAGTAGCTGACTCAAAAGATAAGCCCATCATAAGGCTTATAACATGTATTGCCAGAAAGGTCTCGCTGCTTTATAACCCCACCTCCAGTGGGGCAATTCGCCTCATACATGTTCCCTCCCTCCTCTCCTCTTTTTCAGTCTCTTGAGTGTATGGATTTTGTTGCTTCTGTCCAGTGAACTAATCAAGACTGCTAAGGCAAAAATGGGGCAGATCCAGTCTCGGTTCAAACCATCCCTCCAAAATAAACGAAAGCTCTGAGAGGAGACTTCTCTGAACCACGGCAGCGTTTCAGAACAAGGGGGTTGATGAGAGACAGGAGGGTAGATTTAGTTTCCCTTAGCCTCTTCTCCTGAATTGAGAATTATTGGCTTCCTCCAGTCCATCACTGGGCAAGCTGAGTCTGAACACTGAATTACAGCAAGGGAATGAATGAGCTTTTATATAGTAGACACAAACGCTGTGCACACAAACGCACACAGGCAGCCCCCCTCACCCCACAGCACCTCTAGCTGTGATGCTGGACACTCTGGCAGGTAAAATGTCCCTCTATAACCTTCATGGAATCACCAGGGAATGCTTCTTACTTATATTTTTAAGGGGGAAAGAAAAGGCTAACCAATAATTAATTAATTTAGGTTAGAGGGAGGCCTGAATAACTGTAATGAGTATTTCAGCTAGGCCAAAAGAGGCATTCTCTACCCCCTAATGGGCAGGAAGGGACAGCTGGCATTTCAGAGTTGGCAAATCCCTCCTGAAAGATCAATGTTGTCTCTGTATTGGATAGCCTGATCTGGTCCAAGGTTTATTTGTTGAAATAGATGATATAATATTCAGACTGTCAGCATTTGCACACATACACTGCTTTCCCTTAACCCCTTCCCCTGCCCCCATGAAACTTTCAGAATCTGAATACCTTACCCCTTTATTCAAGAGTCAGGGTTTCTGAACAGGGGCAAAGGGAACCTCAAACCACGTGGTTACCATGAGGCGGGGAAAAGCGGCCAGAGCATCCATCTTCAAAAACTACAGGCTATCCAAACTTCTACTGAAACTTAAGAAAATGGAGTCCTTTCCCAAGTCCCTTCTATTATCATCCCCATCAGCATCCCTGCCTGCTTAGGAGGATGACAGAGACAGGAACAGAGACATTGCTGAGGAGCCACAGGACTCACACTTGCAGCTGGAGACCTACATGGGACACCAAGGAGCTGGTGGAGGAAGCCATTCCCCCAGTACGCCTTCACCCATAACCAGAGGTAGCGGTGGCCTCCAAGGGGACCCCGGGGGAATTTCCACTGGTGAATGCAGCTGCTGCTTTCTGGGCAACTCACAGTGCGTGTGGGCAGGGAAGAGCTCAAGAAATGAGTTGCCTGAAGCCGACTCATTCTGCAAGCTGCTCCCCAGCAGATGATGGACTGTGGGTGAGTTTTGCAACTGTTCAGGAAAGGCCAACTCCCAGTGGGTTAGCACCAAAGCCGTGAGCTTTGTGTTCTTCCAGAATAGTAGCTGAGGTGAGCTAACAGTACTAAGAGTTAACATTTACTGAGGGCCCATTACCAGGCAGGTCACGGAGCACACAGCTCTCATTATTTCCTTAATCCTCACAACAAGATCAGCAGGTAGGTCCTACCATGAGCCCCATTTCACAGGTGAGGAGTCCATGTTTATGAATTTGGTGTTCTGGGAAATCACAGAAAACCTTCCAGGACATTTGAATCAGGCCTACACCAACCCACCTCTTGCCCCTCGCCTCTCTAAGTATTTGGCAAAGCACTCTGTTTATACATCTCTTGTGAGGTTATACTGTCACTGACAACAGCCAAAATTCCCCTACAAGCCTTATCTAGGAAAGGAAACTGGCTTTTTTTTTTTTTTTTTTTTTGCCACTTTTAAATTGCATGAGGCATAAGGAGAATAACTCTAAAATCAGAGTAGCTAATCTGTTGCCAATGTGTTGCGTTCAGACAGAGTCAACAAAGCCAGACAACCACAGGGCCTGTTAGGGCTCTTACCCCGTGGTAGCACCAACTTTCTGAAGAACCTGTGTCACATAGGATTAGGAGAACTATGATAAAACCAGTGACTGTACCCTAGAAATTGATTTTCTTGACAGGATTTATAGAGATGACTATTTACATAGGGCTTGATTTTGAGAATGGGGTGGATGAAGACAGACAGACTGTTTACTTAAGAGAACCAGCATGGCCAGGCCACCGTATGCATAGGGCAAGGGATTTGTCTTTATAGCTAGGAAATTTCAGGGCTCTGAGCATATAAAAATCAATTGTTACATGGAATTATCTCCTAGGCCAATTACTTAGGGTAGATAATAAATGATCTTCTTTGGATAAAGGAGCTCTTAGCTTATCGACAAACCAAGTTTTACTGTTTTTTAAACTAAAATGGATTCAATTAACAAATATTTAGGAAGCATCAGGGCCAGGCCTTGTCCTAAGTGCTGAGAATCCTGTGATATACAAGGTAGGACAGGCCTTGCTCTCATGGAGCTTAGTGTCCCAAGGAGAGATAGACATTAAGCAGCTGAATGAATTACTGGGCAAGAACATTTCAGAGGCAAGCTGCTATGGAGTTTCCCAGTTCATCATCTGCAAGCTACTCAGCAGATGATGAACTGTGGGTGAGTTTTGCAACTGTTCAGGATAAGGCCAACTCCCGGTGGGTTAGCACCAAAGCCGAGTGCTCTGTTTTCCTCCAGAATGGCAGCTGAGATGAGTTAACAGTAGTAAGAGTTGACAACTCTTATACTGTTAGGGAAATAACAAAGTGATGTGGTAGACAGTGATGGGTGTGGGGACAAAAGGGTCAGGGCAGGCTGCAGCATGTAAGGATCAGGGAAGAACCATCTGAGGCAGCAGGAGCAGGTGTTGCTAAGGCCCCAGAGTGAGAATGGACGTGGTTTGTATGAGGACAAGAATAAGCACGGGAGCATACAAGCTGGGGAGGCAGCCACGTCCAGGGAGGTTGGAGAGGTTAAGTCAGGAAAGCAAGGGCTGACCATGTAGGCTACAAGAAATAGTTTAGATTTTATTCTATGTGCAGTTCTAAGGTACTGGGGAGTTTTAACCAAATTCCTGAATCTGAGGCATTGCTAAACCTATGAGGTATTTACAGAATTAAAAAACAAAAACAAAACAAAAAATCCTTAACATCTCAAAGATCCTGTGATCTCCAAAGTGGGGGGCTAAATTCCTCTTTTGCAAAATGGATTGTCCAAAAATCTCTTCCAGTGTATTTCATTTGTTTACTCATTCACATCACATATAAATAAATGTTTGTCACTACATTCCAGCCGCTGTGCTTGGCACTGAGGAGTTACAATTGAGAAAACAGATTTGGCCCACAGAGAGTGAGACAAATAACCAGGTGATTGCAACACACCGTGATAGGTGCTCCACTGGGGGATACTGCTTCTCTAACACGTGAAAGTTATGAGCGTGGGGGAGGAAGGCGTGAGGAAGGGGAAGCAGGAAAGGCTTTCTGAAGGAAATGACGTTTAATAACACAGTGTTCCTCAGAGGTGAGAGGAAACAGGGCAAGGTTGAGGAAGTGAAACAAGTTCAGTAAGGTCAAAGTAGCAAGTTTAAACAGAGGCTATAGTGTCAAGCCAGAGTAGGTCACCCAGGCCTCCCAGTTAATAAAAAGGATTTAGGAGTACACAGTATCCACGGGGCCATCAAAGACTTTTACGCATGAGAGTGCTGCATTCGATCTTCCAAGTTAGAACAATCCCATGGGTTTCAGTATAGAGAATGAGCCAGTCAAAGAGTCAGGAAGGCCAGATGGGCAAGGCTTGGGCTGGGGTGGTGGCAGTGGGGGTGGTGACTGGTCGGCTACTGTAAGAGCGTAATTGACAAGTTTTGATCATTGACAAGAAGTCACTGATAAGTAAAGGAAGCTGGTCAGGTTTCCAGGCACCAGATGGAATTCATGGAAACAGGGAGATGCACAGGTATGGGTGCACGAGAGGAAGGGGAACCATTCATGCATAACAGTCAACTGGCTTGGCAGACATTTGGGTAGATGGGTCTAAAGAACAGGTAGGGTATCTGGGATATGGTCTTTGGCATTGATATGGTTTGGCTGTGTCCCCACCCAAATCTCATCTTGAATTGTAATCCCCACATGTCTAGGGAGAGACCTGGTGGGAAAAGACTGGATCATGGGGGTGAACCCTCCATGCTGTTCTCGTGACACTGAGTGAGTTCTCACAAGATCTGATGGCTTTATAAGAAGCTCTTCCTCCTCCGCTCCTCACACTTCTCTAGCCTGCTGCCACATAAGCCATGCCTCTTACCATGACTGTAAGTTTCCTGAGGTCTCCCCAGCCATATGGAACTGTGAATCAACTAAATCTCTTACCTTTATAAATTACCCAGTCTCAGGTACTTCTTTGTAGCAATGAGAAAATGGACTAATACAGATATGTGTTGCTGATAACTGGAACTATAGAAAGGAACAAGATAAATCGGAGTTAAGAAGAGAATTTAAAATCTGACTCTCAGAAATAAGAACTCTTAAGGGAAAAGGAGCCTTTAAAGGAGACTCTTTTGAGTCAGAGAGATGTCTACCAAATTTCAAGAGTGTGGTGCCACCAAAGACAAGCAAAGTGATGGTTTTGAACCAAGGGGGCTGTTGACAATGACCATTGTTGCCAGAAATCAAGTAAAAGCAGGCCTGAAAGGGGTCATGAGGTTTGACAGGAAGGTCATGGTGACCTTGGTGAGAGGCAGTGTCAGTGGGTTCGGTGCGGACAAAGTGCAGGCTGAGTGGGGAGGGAGACATGAGACATTCCTATATTTAGTTTTAAGAGCAGGGATGAAAATATTTCAGTACAAGACTTTTCCCACAGTAACAAATGAGGTGTGGAATTACCAAACATTGGAAATAACTCCAGATTTTTAAAAAGGGAAATAAAAGACAGCAAATTACTTTAGACAAGAGAAAGCCCAAGAAACCCTCCTGAGATTCCTCCTTCCGATGTCTTCTGGAGTGGCCACCCAATGGCTTGGAGCTAAAAACTCTTCCTCTGTCCCTGGGAGCCAAGCCCCAGGTGTGGGGAAGATGGCCCAGGGGCATGAGCCTTCAGGCATAGATCACGGTGTCTGCTCTGAGCAGCAAGGGCAGCGTACAGGCGCAGTGATCACAGCCAGCAGAGCAGAAAGCCAGTATTGAAAAGCAACGCATCTCAGGAGATCCTGGGCTGGTTCAAGAAGCTGATACAATCCCTGTTTACATTTGGGCTCCCACGGCTCTCTCTTTGCTGCCTCTCTTGCTTGTACACCCAAGTACTTAGTAAGTGCTGCCTTGGTGCCAGGAAAGGTACTGAATGCTGAAGAGGAAGAAGCCCTTGTCCAAGCCCTTGAGGAGTGTGCAGTCCAGTGAGGGAAAGCTGGTATATAAATGGCTGATAATCACCATGTATTTAGTAGGCCAGGCACAGTGGCTCACACCTGTAATCCCAATACTTTGGGAGGCCGAAGCAGGTCGATCACCGGAGGTCAGGAGTTCGAGACCAGCCTGGCCAACATGATAAAACCCCATCTCTACTAAAAATACAAATATTACGGGGTTTGATGGCGGGCTTCTGTAATCCCAGCTACTTGAGAGGTGAGGCAGGAGAATCACTTGAACCCAGGAAACAGAGGTTGCAGTGAGCCAAGATTGCGCTGCTGCATTCCAACCTGGGTGACAGAGTGAGATTCCTTCTCAAAAAAAAAAAAAAAATCACGTATTTAGTTAAGTAGTGTGTGGTGGGCTCGGCAGCCTGGAGTCAGATGATTTCTAGGTCAGTCACTTACAAGCTGGGTGACCTTGTGCAAGTTAGATGACTCTCCCAAACCTCAGTTTCCTACTTGAAAAATGAAGTCATTAACAGTCTCCCTCCTTGGGCAATTGTGAGGGAATGTGAAGCCCTCAGCTCAGTGTCTGGCACCAAGGGAGCAGCTGTTGTTAAGTACAATTACAGAAATGAGCCCTGGCTATTGTAGTAGCGCTGAATAGCGGCACCTAAGCCAGTCAAGGGGCAGGGCAGCAGGGAAGGCTCCTGTCTCAGTGGATCCTAAAAGAAACAGCAGATGTTAGCAAGTGTAGGTAGGGGGAGCAAATCCTATGTGGAGGGAACTGCAGTCTCCATTTTTCTTACAAAGCTGTCAACCTCATACAATGAACACAATGCTGCTTCTTCTAGGTGCTGATTCAACAGAAAGAGCATTGAACTTTGAATCCAAAGGTCCAGGCTTGTACAGGAGCTTACAGGTTAAGAGTGGCACACAGGCTGCGTTCGGTGGCTCATGCCTGTAATCCCAGCACTTTGAGAGATTGAGGCAGGTAGATCACTTGAGGTCAGGAGTTTGAGACCAGCCTGGCCAACACAGTGAAACCCATCTCTACTGAAAATACAAAAGTTAGCTGGGCACGGTGACATGCACCTGTAGTCGCAGCTGCTCAGGAGGCTGAGGCAGGAGAATCAATTGAACTTGGGAGGTGGAGGTTGCAGTGAGTGGAGATTACGTCACTGCACTCCAGCCTGGGTGACAGGGTGAGACACTGCCTCAAAAAAAAAAAAAAAAATGCTGCCACACAGACTTGAACAGGCCACTCATGCCCTCTCAGCCTCAGTGTCCCTCATTTAGAAAATGGAGGAGACAGCTGCATTCGATCATATTTATCACATACCTGCAAAGAGCCATCAAGTGCTGCAGAAACAGCAGTGAACAAGAAACAGACATGGGCCCGACCTACGTTACAGTTTAGTGCAGGAATCAGAGAAGAAAATGGGCAACTATAGTACAGTATGCCAACTGCTATGATTTGGCTTAATGCCAAAACCAAATTAAACACTCTGAAAACTGTGTTTCAAGTGGCTCTGGAAACTGAAAAGCACTATAAATATATTTTGTAGTATTATTGTTATTCTTGACAACAGTGCCAGCCAGATCCTAAACCTATCAGAATTTTTTCCCAACTTCTGGTCTGCCGATGGCACCCTGTCTCCAGGCAGCTGTGGGTGAGCGTGCATATCAAACACATGTACATGTTTACTGTTGACATGCCAGTTCTGCCAGGTTTTCTGTGGTCTGGTAATCAACCATGACTGAGTGTCTTGGCATTTGATGAGGTCTGCTTTCTCTAGGGAGCATTATGCTTGGTGACCTCACATATGTTTCATGGATCCCATTCCTACAGGCTTGCAATGCGGCCTGATGAACTGATTCCTTCATCTGTCAAGCACTATGTGGCAAACACAAGAGGCCAACTAAATGGTCCCTGGCCCACAGATGATCAATTTCGTGAAAAAGACACTTGGGAAACTAGTATGCTGAGGCGTTATCATTTATTCTAGATTGTGTATAATGAGTGATCATATAATTTATCATACAAACCAGCACATTGAAGTGGGAAGGCACAGTTAAATTTATAACAGGGCAACAGAACTAACAGGCAAATGAAGATGTATGCTCCCAATATATAATCTAAAGGTCAAATGGCTTGTTCAAAGTAATGACAGATGAGTTGCCAGAGCCAAAGCACATTGATATTATAGCCTAATTAGATGTCACTCACAGTTTGCTTGCCATGGAACTAGTTATAGCCTTTTCTAGGCTCTTTGCAATATGTAATTCTCTTTGCAAATTAGATCCTAAAGGCATTTATGGATCCTGAGATTATGAGCTGAAAACTGCATAATGACGAAAATCAGACACCTGAGTCTTTTTTTTTAATGGTGGAAATTTTCATTATAGTATTGAAATGTAAGTTTCAATGGCAATGTAGACCTCTGCCTAATGGTCCATTACTTAGGTTTATGTTAAACCCCTAACTAAAGTAATTCCTTTCTGTGGCTCCAAAAGGAACTGTCTTTCCAAGTGCTTTTTAACATCAAAATGTAAAAGCTCTCTAAGCTACCCTGGGGCTAAGCTAAATTAATTTCTCATTTTTGGGCTCACTCTTCACATTCAGTGGTGAAAGGACTTTTACTTCAATGCATATGAGCATGGAGGTGGTGCTCCCAGGAAGAAGAACCAGAGGAGGGACACAAAAACTCTTGGAAACAAATATGCTATCGTGTCTGGGAGTCACTATTCTGCCCAAAGGGCTCACCTGCCAAGCCCACAGGTAATTTCCCATGAAAAACTTAATTTCAAAGTAGATTCCCGCTGATTAATTCCTACTGTCTAAGAAATGAACGTCAGTTCATAAATATAAAAGCAGGCATGGCTGGCAAGTCTCTTATGCAGTCTACTGAGCAGCAGATGTCTCACCACACAGGCATCATGACTTTTCATTTTTCTTAAGGAACAAATGCTTGGCTAATCTCTGGCTTAGAGAAGACATAAATCTCATAAAGACGATTCTGTTTCATTGTCACATGCCATATTTCATTTTTTAAATTTTTTATATGTTTTTGAGACACAGTCTTGCTCTGTCACCCAGGCTGGAGTGCAGTGGCATGATCTTGGCTCGCTGCAACCACCGCCAGGTTCAAGCAATTCTCCTGCCTCACCCTCCTAAGTAGCTGGGATTACAGCCACCTGCCACCATGGCCAGCTAATTTTTGTATTTTTAGTAGAGATGGGGTTTCACCAAGTTGGCAAGGCTGCTCTCGAACTCCTGACCTCAGGTCATCCACTTGCCTCAGCCTCCCAAACTGCTGGGATTACAGCCATGAGCCACTGCGCCCAGCCTATTGTGCCATATTTCAGATGAGAAAATTTAAAAATTAAGGGAAAAAGTCAAAGTTGGTTAAAAACAAAAACCTCCTTATGGCAGCTCTCTCTCAAACCTAAATAAGAATCAGAAAGAAACCCAAGCCTGCATTTGCAAAAATACAAAACAAACAATCATCCCCACACTCCATCCCCACATTTTTATACTATTGGGAATCCAATAGTATAAAACTTCTAGACCAGGTGTTGAGTTCTGTACCAACTTAGACAGGCTATTTATTAGAAATCTCCTACACTTTGATAGCCATCATTCTTTATAAAAATAAATGTACCATTTTTTTTTTGAGTAGACACTGAAAATTTGGTTAAAATATCTTTTTTCTAAAACATTTCTGAAAATAGCTTACATGCTTACAAAAGAAAAACTCATGCCAAGTTGAGGTATGGAAGATAACCTTTCTCTGTGACAAGATGATATCAAATACATTTTCCTTCACTGTCACCAAAAAGTGCCACAGTCCTCTATCTGCAGGCACCCCTAAGCATTTTTCCTAGGCTTCTCATGAGCTGCCTTTCAAGATGCTGATCAGTCCTTTCAATCATTAACCGTTTACAAGTTCTGCTAGCTGCTGCAAGCCTGACCCTAGATTTCTAAATTTTTACTGGTAAAAATAACACCAGCACTTAGTCATCTGTGAAGCACCAAAAAGTAAGAGTCAGCCCTTAGGTCAGTTAAACAGCATTATACAGGGGACAGAACATTTGGGGTCCTTTTATGTGGGAAAAGAAAGTCTTTCAAAGAACTAGAGCAACAGATGTATTCAGAGCACACAGGTTCTCTCTGGCATCCTTCCTGTAGCTCCATATCAAATTGTAAATGTAGTTAAATCACAGATTTACACTTAAGCTTGCTTATCTCTGATAATGGACTTGGAAACATATCAAAGAACCTGACCATGTGTACTTATCAGTCCCTGACAGGTATGAGGCTTAGAAACTCAGTACAGGACTTTCTTGCTCGCTTGTTTAGAAAATCAGATGTAGCCTATCAGCAAGTATTTGGCTGAGGGTTCCAATTACCTATGATCCTAGGTAATCCTATATTGCTAAAAAGTTGCCTGCTTACAGACTACGGATTTAAAATACTCTTACGATTGATAATTCACAACCATGGGATAGAGGTATATACCTATAAATAAATTTATGAATATGCTCCGATTTGTTTCAAGGAATGGGGCAATTAATAGACTAATTTTTATATCACTTAATAAAATTTCCAGACAGTATAAACGGTTATCAGTATAAAAGTATGGATAGGAAAAGTAACTCTCCCTTCCCATTGAATCCATCTCCAGAAGTAACCATTACTATGAGTTTCTCATATTTTCTCCAGAGATACTACATGAGCTTGCAAGCTGGTATGGGTGGAAGTGTCTGTGTGTGATTTCATGCCCTCCTTCCCATTAAAAACAAATGACCACCAGTTATTCACATTGTTCTCAACCCTGTCTGTTTTCCTTACAGTACCTCCTGGAGATTGCTCCAGCATTACATGAAAAGTTGTCCCTTCGTTCTTTCTTAGTGACTATATAGCATTCCATTGTGGAGATGTACAATGACATAACCAACCAGATCCTTAACAAGGAATAATAGGTTGTTTCCTATCTTTTATTTTGAATGGGACAGAATCTCTGAGCTGGATAAAACAGAAGAGGCACTGAATGAATGTTGACATTTTGTTCTACCTGCTGCCATCCTCCTTTTAAGAAATACTAATGTCGAAACAATGTAGAGAGGCTATTAGAAGAAACAGATGTCACCCTTCCTGCCGTTACACACAGGAAGATACAATATTTCTCTGTTTTGATGCTGCCCTCGAACAGCAACTGAATACTGGGAAGAGGAGCTACCGAGTTTTGCCAAAACCAAATTTATCTTGCTGGGCAGACAAGCCTCAATGTCTAGCAGCCCTTATCAAAGAAAAATTATCTTCACAGTAAATCTTTTAGGTTTAGGGAAGCCGAGGGTGTGGTCTAGGTCAAGGTCATCTGTCCCTTCCACACTGCATGACTCAGAACTCTAATTCTACTTGGACTCTGACATAGGACATTTATAGGCTTTGGACAAAAAAGCTCCCAAATGCTGAGGTGGGAAAGTCTCTGGAGTTAGACTTCATGGACTTTGGGCAAGCTACTTAACCTTTCCAAGGCTGCTTCCTACCTGTAAAAATGGGAAAACAATACCTACCTCAGAGAAGTAACTGTGAGGATTAAGAAAGACAATCCCTATGTAAATTGTGAAGCAAAGTGCCTGAATTCAGAAATGTTAACTCCTATTAATAAAACAATGCAAAGCCACTTTGTTTTTGAAGAAACATCTTGGCCCTGCCTAAAAATATGTCTCTTGAAAATTCTGGCCTGTGGTGATTCTCCGCTCTCCTGACTCCACGCTTTCTAGGCCCTCAGGCCTGCTGCACACCCTGCAGAATGGTTTGTTACTTCTCGGGCACGCAGTACGAGCTGGGTGCAGTGGTTCATGCTCGTAATCCCAGTGCTTTGGGAAGCTGAGGTGGGAGGATCAGTTGAGGCCAAAGAGATTGAGGGCACTCAATATTTTTTTTTCTCCTCGTTTGTGCTTGCACAGTTCCATTTCTTGCAATGTTCCCCATCTTCCCATGGGTAACTTTTACTCACTTACCAAGATGCAGCCTGGAGGGTGAGGGCCCGTGTCCCTCCCCTGGATGCCACTGCATCCAGGGTCTGCCTCCGTCATAGCACTGTCATACTACCTTAAAGGCACCTGGGTGCAGGTCTCACGTACACAGAATACTACCTCCCCAACACTATCCTGGCATGCCGTAGACACATGATAACTGCTTGTTGAACTCATACGAACCCTATGGAGACAAGAATTCCAGTAGGCCTCAATAAAACCTTATCTATGCCTCTGGCATCTTCTTTCAACCAACAACATGGGTATCTGCCCTTCAGGTATTTATATTCCCACAGACCTCAATGTAGAATACATGTCATGTAGCTCCTATCAAAAGCATGGCCAAGACAACTGGGATTCTTTAAGAGGGAGCCTGCCTTCCATCTATCATCCTGTTACCAGGCAGATCACCAGCAAACATGCTTTCTCTAGGTTGTTCTTTTTGTTGCACCATAGTAAAAACAACCTTTCAATACTTTAGCTTAACATTAGACTCTGTATTTAATCAAAACCAATGGGAGAAACAGCTCTATAGAGAGGGCCTCATTTATTTTTTGCATGAAACTGCTTTGGAAGATAATGTCTAACGAGCTACTCAAAATCATTAATACAGAGACTCACATGACAAATTAATATTATAACTTGAAGCTCTTGATGAACTGTTATGCTTTTTTTTTTTTTAAAACAGACAATCGAACTGTACATCCCATAATATATTTTCCCTTGTTTGTCATGGCTATTAGGTGGCTCGGGACAGTTTTGTGATGAATTACTCTCTTCCTCTCTCAGACTTTGTTAATCTGTTATTTTTTATTCTCATTTTACTCAACTGTATATGTACTTAAAAAAAAAAAAGAGTAAAAGATCCCCACATTCCTGGATTTTGTTTGGTTATCAACCATGCTTAGAGAACAGCTGTCACCAGATACCTGGCACGTGTCACCCAATTGTGCTATAAACACACACGTACATGTCCAGAATTTGTCAGTATACAAAGACTTGAAATAACAAATGCCTGTACTTAGTAAAGGCTTGCCACTCTTGAAAATGCTGCCTCAGTTTTAGCTGCAATAGGAGACAAGTATGTATATGATGCTTGCCTGCACAGATTTTGAGATGGATATCGCACCCTCGCTATGAAGCCATCACTTAATAAATGTATTAAAACCAGTCTAGCCCTTGGGGCATAATTATACCTGGATCCCAAGAAACAAAAGGAAGGAAATGCAAAAAAGGAAGAGGAAGTTCAATTCCCAAATTGCAAACCTAACAGTAAATTGGAAATGCGATCGGTAGATGCTGGGATTGTGCCTACACCAGAGATAAATACTGGGCTTGCAAACATCCTGCTACCACCTCTTCAATTTGGAAGACAATGTAGTGACAACCAGATGGTCAACTCTTGAGGGAAAGTTTTTAGTTTTGTTTTTAATGGCAGAAATGGGCAAATGTGGGAAGAAATCTCACAAGTATGGGAAAAAAATAGCTTACCTGAGACTGGAGAGTTATGGAATGCTTAAGGAGAGACAACACCTTTGGCAACATATTTAAACTTTAAAGAGTTGGCTTGAAAAAAGTTTGAAACTTGGGAAGTAATGAGGTATCCCATAAAACCTTATTCCCCTCCCCTTTCTTCCTTGTGATGGGAGTACACAGCAACTGCCTCCCAGCAAAGGAATGGCTATATGAGTATATAGCCAATGGATTACTGAGTATCTGTCAAATCTCAAAATCTCAAGTGTGGCTCTTATCTGGGGCTACAAACCATGGCCAGGAGTAAGGGACTAGTCCTCAAGATGATGGAAGACTTGTTGGCTAGAGGGTCACACAGGCCTCAGCTAAAATTCCAGTTCCGCTGCATTCCAGTTCCGATGCTTTCCACTTCTGTGACCTTGGGGAAGTCACTCCATCCCTCTGAAACCCAGTTTCCCTATCTGTAAGATGGGAATATTGATAGTGGTTGTTCATCTAACTGGGCTGATAGATTAGATAATGTATGTAAAAGCCCTAGGCTAGGGCCTGGCAACAGCAGATGATCAATAAACGTTTCTCTCATTTTTTTTCCTCCTTGGAATCCCCATTTTTATCCTTTATGTTCTCTGTCCTTTATTACAACTCATTTCAAGGATTTCCTGCTCTTTCTTCCCCCTCTCTTTTTCTCTTAAACTCTGGTCTGCTCACCTCTGTTTTTAGGTACTGACTCTCTGTTTCCTATTCTCTCATGTTCTTGTTATCTCCACAAAGAACCCCAGCATCTGAAACTTGAGGGGTACCAGAGAATGGAGGGGAAGAAAATGAAGAAACATGACTGGGCTGCTTCAGTCTCTTTGCTGATACGCCCCACTTCAGTAGCTTGCCAATACCCCAACCACTGCCCATGAAGACAACTGAACAGAGTGGTTGTGGGTGGGGCAGTACTAGAACCGAATTGCCTGGGTTCAAATCCCACCTCTACCCTCAGTTAAGTCAGGTAATCTCTCTGTGCCTGCATCCTCATGTGTAAACTGTGGAGTACAACAGTACCTCCAGAATTATATTGATTTTAATAAGTACATACGTGTAAAGTGCCTGGCACACTGGGGCTTTATTAATGTGAGTTATCATTGTCATCACAACCATTATCATCATCATAGCTCATGGAGACTTCATTTCAACCTTTGAGAGCAAAATTTTTTCTCGGGATATGAACCAGGTACTGGAATATCAAACTGAGGTGGAATTTTCTAGCCGCTCAATGTGATTCCTGGCAGAAGAATCCGTTCTTATCCAAACTCAGGTTTTCGACAATGTCACCACAAGTTGGAGACTTTCATGAAGCTCGTGAGCTGGATGCTGGCTGCCCCATTGTTTCTGGCAGGCCACCAGAAGATGCCACCACCGGTGGCTTGTGTTTGAGGAGCTCTCAGAGCTGCTGAGCCACTGTTTTTGCATGTTCATGGCTCTCAAAGAAGAGAAGGGGCCCCTCCCTTTCAGATTATTTTTCTTCTGTTTAATCACATTCTAAGATGCATTTTGGACAACACTGTCATTAAAATGAATGGAGGCCAACCCCAGCACACCGGTGTTTGCCATATGTTCTCTAATGACCTGTAATGGGCACTGATAATGAAAGCCTTTTCCCAGAAATTTGTTTTTTAAATGAATCAACTGTGTCCAAGGCTAAGTGGGAAGATAACATTTTCTTCATTTTAAAAAAACTATAAAATACATTACTCTTGTAGCAGGCAGTCAACTAGGAATAAAATAAATTATGCAAGAAGCATTTGGGCTGAAAAAAAGGGGATATTCTCAGAGAATATATAAGACACTACTGAGGCGAAAGAAAGCAGTACAGATTTGGATCCTAGAGTGTAAAGTCACCAAATCCTTCACTAAGTCCACATAAGAAAGGTCCAGTGTAGTGACATCTGTGGCTGTCTCTTCTCTGAGGACCACCCCTTTTCAGTTTGGAGAGTCCACGTGCCTTGGGTGTTGCTCTCTGTGAACAGGTGATTCAGGCCTAGACCAGCAGAGCTTCACCTATACCCCTGGCCATAGAGACTGGTTAAGGGATGGGGATGGGACTCAATATGGACCAACAGGAATGAGGCCAGCCTGTATTTCAAACTGCTGAGAAAGAAAGCCTCTGTCTTTCTTTTCTGCTGGGCTTAGGCTTTTTAAGAACGTAAGTCCAACTGGTGGTAACCACCCTGCGATCAAAAGGAAAGGACTTATCTAAGAGGAGACTCGGCAAAGAGGAAAGCTGAGCTGCGAGATGGCAAGAGCTGGGTTCTGATGGCAACATCTATGCCCCTGGTCCTCGCCGTACCTGAATACAGATGTTCCTGCACACTGGAAGACCAGTAAGTTCCATTTTAGCCTAACTTAGTTGGGCTAGGTTTTCTGTTACTTGCAACCAAGAACACTGATGGGTAAATCTGCTCAACCTGACATATAGGGTCTTGAATACAACAACTGTCGGTACATGTAAAAGATGTCATATTAGGGAAATTTGCACTGGTGTTCAGTTTCCAGAAATGTGAGGAAAATAGGAATAGCTCTTGTTAGAGCCCACAGAGGCCCTGGATTGGGAGAAATGCAAACATTGCAAAAGCAAAGGCCTCAATAGTCACTTAAATAGTGCATGGTGCTCTGTGACAATGTGTCAGACCATCACCACTGAACGTCTGGGATGCAGTTTCCATAGTTCACCTACAGTTTGAGAAACAGAAGGGATGCTACCCATCCAAATGAAAATAAATACCACATGTACTTTAGCAGGTTTAGCACTGTCAGTGCAGGCTAAACAAAACAGCTCTGTGTAAGGAGTAAAAACAAGCAGGAATTTTCTGCAAGTCTACATGATCACTATTTATATCTTTTCCTTATGAATCCTACCATATATCTGGTCTATCCTGATTGTTTGAGTTGCTTTACCCTCTCAGAGCCCAGAGATAGTCTCTTAGAGACACAGCCTGACTCTAAGTCAAGCAAACAGCATTTGCTAAAAGCTGAAGGTGTCAGAATGTGTCTGATGTGCTTAGTCTTGGGTTGCAACACGGAAAAGAAGAATATAGCTGATTTTTGAACTTATTTTGTTGGCTTTTTAACATTACAAAACTCAAGGCAGTTGGATGATACGGAATGTTGTAGGATCTTGTGTGACACTTAGAAATAAAAACAGGCCCTTTGTGGAAGAAAATTTGAGCTAAAAAAAAAGGAAGAAGAAGAAGAAGAGTTCCAGATGGTGAGGTCTATTTGACTATCAAGCAAAACTGTGATGAAAATAGGGAACGTCTCAAGCAAGTCAATTACATGAAATAAATTGACAGAAGATGTTCCATCGAGATCTAGTTAGTATGGAATTCTGGAATGGGAAGACAACATTACAAGGCTTCCCCAGCTTTACTGTCCAAAGAAGTAAAAAGCATATTGACACCAGAAAACAAAACAATTTTAATATTACAGATGAGAAGCACATGCTCAAAGTTAACTATGAGCAGGTCCCCACATGGGCCCTGTGTGATCCTCCCTCTGAGTCTTTTGCCACTGCTCCCTGTCCAAATCCAACCTATCCTTAAGGTGCATATTCAAATGCCAATTTGATCACAAAGCCTTCCTTAATCATCCCAGTTCAAAGTCATCTCTCCTGCCTAAGAATTCCAGCAGCATCTTATCCAGTAGCACTGAGACCATCTGATACAGGCATTTTATGTTTCTGTTATTCTCATCGTGAAGGGCACGATCCCTCTAGCTCATCTTTAATGTGCTTACATATTGAAGACATTCAGAAAAATCTGTTGAGTGACTGAAAGAGTTTAATAAGCTCAAAAAATGGGGCACAGAAAGCCCTCTCTAAGTGTTGCTTCCACTGTCTCTTGTCTGTTTCTCTTTGCACACTAGAATGGCTGCAACTGGACTTTCTCTATGTGATGGGGAACATGGCTGCTGGATATTCTGGTAGGCAGGACAGATTCTTAACCCAGCTCCAGTTAAAACAAAACAAAAATCCATGAAAATAGTACGGTTGACCTGACTTAGTCATGTGCTTGCCCCCATACTATTACCATCTCGAGGTCATAAGGAATTGTGGTACAGAATCTACATCACTGATGAACAACTCTACAAACAAATCAAATTTAATCATTTGAGCACCCCTATTTTTATTACAACCAATGAATTTTTTTATTTTTATTTTTTCAGACAGAAAAAAATACCCTGTGCTCTGTGTTGCACAGGATGGAGTACAGTATTGTGATCTCAGCTCACCGCAGCCTCTTTCTCCCTGGGTCCAAGTGATTCTCATGTCTCAGCCTCCCAAGTAGCTGGGATTACAGGTGCGTGCCACCTGGCCTGGCTAATTTATTTATTTATTTATTTATTTTTTAATTTTTTTAGTAGAGACGAAGTTTCACCATGTTGGCCAGGCTGGTCTCAAACTCCTGACTTCAAGTGATCTACCCACCTCCGCCTCCCAACATGCTGGAATTACAGGCCTGAGTCACCATGCCCGGCCAATTAATGGAAACCTTTCTAAAACATGGCACACATTTTTCTACCTTCAAAGACAGAATATATCGAATACAATTTACTTAATCGAGGAGAGAGAATTATAAAAATCAATTACTGTCTTGTGCTGTCATACAGCTGTGACCAAAGAAACTGCTGGGTGTGAAGGGTAGCTAGTTCTTTATCCAGACCTTTGTATTATTACAGTTTTTATGACTTCAGAAAAAGTTCTTCTGTACTTTGCCTCATCAGCAATTATTAACTTTTTATTCTGTGAATGTAACTACCTTTTGTGGTATGAGTGTTACTTCCAAAATACTGGATGGTGGAAAGCCAAGGAGCCAGGTTTGTTGTAATTGTGTGCAAAAGGTATGACCTGGACTTGGCAACTTTCGAACATGCTCTACCTTCAGTTCCTGCTGAAAGGTTGTGTAACCCAGTTCCCTGTGGCTACAGATAAGTAAACTGTAGAATCCCCTGCCTCAAAGTCTCCAGTCCATAGATGTTTTCCCTCAGGCCAGGTAGCAAAGAATTCAGCAAAGCAGCAGGTGAAATCCTTGTTTTGAGACAGAGTCTTGCTCTGTTGCCCAGGCTGGAGTGCAGCGGTGTGATTTTGGCTCACTGCAACCTCCACCTCCTGGGTTCAAGCGATTCTCTTGCCTCCCAAGTAGCTGGGACTACAGGCACCTGCCACCACACCCAGCTAATTTTTGTATTTTTAGTACAAATGGAGTTTCACCATATTGGCCAGGCTGATCTCGAACTCCTGACCTTGTGATCTACCTGCCTCGGCCTCCCAAAGTGCTGGGATTACAGGTGTGAGCCACCACACCTGGCCAGCAGCAGGTGAAATTCTAAAGAGAATGAGGCTATGAGAGCACTGGGGCCAATTGGGGGTCATGGCAATCCAAAACTATGGAAGCAGAAGCCATGAGGGAGAGTAAAGCCACAGGCACAGAATGGTGGGAAAGAACAAGTCAGATGGGAGCACTGAGAGGCAGCCGCTGCATGTAGAGAGGCCAACATACCAAGTAGCTGAATAGTGGTCACACAGAGTCAAAAGAGCCACTCCATTCTGGTCCCTGCCTTCCTCCAAGTGGCTCCATCTCTTTATAGTTCCTGCTTTGCTTAGACCCCAAAGCCCTAAGCAGTTTCTCCTGGATTCCTGGCCTGGGCTTCCTGCCCACAATCCCTCAGTCACCCTGACCTGAGAGTATCCAACAGGTCTAGAGGGCTGTTGAAACTGTGGGCTCTTCTGGCTACTCATACAGCTTTGGGGTTCACTGCCAGCTATATACAGGGGGTTGCTCTAGATGAGTTAGGGAAAGGGTGTGTGTTATTCTTTAACTCGGATATCACTGGAACCTGGAGAGCAGCCTCCCTTCTCTCCTTGTGTCCATCATGAAGCAGGATTCTGCACCTCAGTACAACCCTCCAAACACATTCCAAATCCCCAGTGGCTGTTAAAAGAGCGACAATGACCATAATTATGGCAGGTAACTTCTCCTGAGCCTTGATTATGAGCCAGAAGGCAAGCAAAGTGCTCTACATGAACTATTTCATTTCATCCTACCAACACTAGGAGGTAGGTACTATTATTATTTCCATTTAACAGATGAGGCTTACAGAGGGGAAGGAACTGTTCATTGCACTCAGAAATAGAAAATCAAATACTATGTGTTTTCACTTATAAGTAGGGAATAAAGAATACAAATCATGGACATAAAGATAGAAATGACAGACACTGCGGATGCCAAAAGGGGGGTGGGTTGGTGAGATGACGATTGAAGAATTACCTGTTGGGTACAATGATCATTATTTGGGTGATGGGTACATTAGAAGCCCAGTCCCCATCAGCACAGAATATACTCATGTAACGAATCTGCAGGTGTACTTCCCGAATCTAAAACAAAATTTAAAAAGGAAGTGTTCATTGTAAAACAACTAATAAAGTTGGGATGTGAACTCTGGGTAAATCTGCCCCTAGAACCCAAGTTCTTAATACTGGGGAAGACTGAATAATGAGAAAGTGGTTCTTACTGAAGTCCACATGAGGTGACATGGAGGAGGATTCACGTCAGGCACTGTGTACGAGAAACTCCATAAAACTTTCTTTCAGCTATTTCTGTTCCTCCAAAGTTCCTTCCTCGCTGGCAACATCCTCATCTCTCCTCCCTCTTTCCCATCCAGCCTCCAAAAACCGTAACCTGTATGTTCCACTGAGCAAAACCAGTGCAGGGCCTCTAGGGGTCCTGATTCTACCCTAGCTTTGCGCACTCAGGTTTCACAGCTTCAGCATGTAGCCAGGCCAGCCCCATGGTGATGTGTAAAAAAGCAACCTTGAAAGCATCATATCCTCTCCAGAGAAACGGAGCCATCTTTCTAGTTCAGCACATAGGCCAGCTCAGCTGAGCAGAGATGGTGTTTTCTTTCTCTTACTCACTACAAATTCTTGGATTTCTATATGAATCTTAAGTGAAACATAGGGCTATGCAGCATACTAATGGGGTTCTACATGAAATCACATTACTCTTGTGTTTTGGGGGCCCAACACAATTCCTGAATCTAAAATAAATTTTAAAAAGGAAGTGTTCTTTTTTAAAACAGGTGGTGTTATACTCCAAAGGGAAACATTAGATGAAATGTTTATGTATATAATCTGATTATATATTCAGATTCTAGATGAGGGTCTTAGGTTTCTGTTGAATATTTTTGCACATAGAGACCTAATTCTTCCTGAGGTGTGCCAAGGCCAGTGGGTTACACTGGGAACTTGCTTATACAAGGTGAATCAAAAATGATGACTAAGGCAGAAAGCTGGCTCTGGGTTTCAACAGAAACATTCGGGTTGTGGCTAATAGAGCTCTCTATGCTCCAATTCAGAGCTAGCTATAGT